TTGGGGATGTTTAATGTGGTGCAACGAATTATTTCTACGAAAGGAAACAAATACACGTCCATGATCAAAAACAAGAAAACATCTAATAAAAAAAACAACAACAGAGAATGTTCTTAAAAACTGCATGATGTGTCTGAAATATATTTGGTTTTAATAATTTGGCGCCCATTTCTTCTAAGTTTCGAAAGATTCCAGATATGATGGTCTTGGAAAATTGCAAACATTTTTTTGGATCAAATTAATATTCAAAGAAGTCGACCTGAAGCCGTGAACAAACGAAATCATTATTTATCTATTTATGGTATTTTACAACAAATTCCATAAGGGGGAGGGGATTAATAAACGTAGAATCGCTATTAAATTATCGAATAAAAAAAAAGCCTCAAGAGACAACTTCTTATTAAAACATCATGAAAATAATTTTTCATTTTTAATCACAAATGTTTTTGGTTTTGTTTTCAACTAAGGCACTTTTGACCGAGAGTGGAAATATATATATATTTCTTAGTTTTATATTTTTTTCTTTTCTTTTATTCGTGAGTTTGGAAGAGTGGGAATAAAGAAAACAGTAAAAAGTTTTCCATTAGAGAAAGAGACTCATATAGTATTTGAAGTAGTTGAAGCAGAGACAACTAAGAGTACGTTCATAAAAGAATAGTTAAAAAAAAAACAGATTCTGTAAAGTTCTCCAAACTCGACACTAAATCACGGTATTTTTGTATGAAGCGACACGGTAGACTGATTATGCTATTTTTATATTGTCAGAAAAGAGATCTTCCTGTAATATGTATATTTCGGTTACTTGAGTTTTCGTTGAAATTATATCAAGGACGTGAGTCGAACACTCATTAAGTCATCTGTGTGCGAAAAGTATTAAACGCTCACATAGAAATTAAATATTAATTTTACGTTTTCTGACAAAAGCTGTGGTGGTTCATTACCTCAGCAATGTCGCATTTATAACGAGGTTCAGCGGATTACGAGTCTCGAATAAGGCGAATACATTTATTTTTAATAAAAATACTTAATTCAACATAACTGTTTCTTGACAAATCCGTTAGTTAATATGTGAAATACGATATTTTTATGATAGTGTAAAGAATTTATAACGAGATTCGGCAGATTACAAGTCTCGAATAAGGTGATTCTTTTTTTAATAAAAGTAGCCCTCCTACTTGTGGTACAGCGGCATGTCTGCGGACTTACAACGCTACAATCCGGGTTTCGATACCCGTGGTGGGCAGAACACAGATAGCCCATCGTGTAGTTTGTGCTTAAGTACAAACATCCAACCGACTAGCTAATAAAAATGGCAAACTTAATTCACAATGGGCTACTTCATTGTTTGTTTGTAATTAAGCACAAAGCTACACAATGGACTATCTGTGCTCTGCCCACCACGGGTGTCGAAACCCGGATTCTAGCGTTGTAAGTCCGCAGACATACCGCTGTGCCACTAAGGGGGGCTACTTCATCATAATTATTTCTTGACAAATCCGATAAAGTTAATGTCAAATAGAATACTTTTATTATGACGTATAGATTATTATAGTTAAAGGATTATTATCATTTGATGTTTTTAACCAGAACGGAACTTTATGCGACACATGAGTTAAACACCCAGATTGGGGAGACCCCCAAAGTTCAGCAGAGGTGGCGACCATTCAGTAGCACCCGCAGCATACACGGCTACTCTTAATCGAATAGCGCAATGGACTTTTACAATTATGCATCTACAGTTGAAAGCGAGGAGCGTGCTAAGTGGAAGATCTAGGGCTCGATCCTCGATATTTTCGCTTCGCAGCCTAGCACGCAGACCACTAGGTCACGCTTGGACCGTTTAGTATCATAAGGTAAATATTTTTCACACAATCCAATCATAAAAGAAAGACTAAATTGTTATACATAATCCAATCACAAGTCATAAAAAAAGACTAAATTGTTAATTGTTATACATAATCCAATCACAAGTAATAAAAAAGACTAAATTTTTAATTGTTATACATAATCCAATCACAAGTCATAAAAAAGACTAAATTGTTAATTGTTATACATAATCCAATCACAAGTAATAAAAAAGACTAAACTGTTAATTGTTATACATAATCCAATCACAAGTCATAAAAAAGACTAAATTGTTAATTGTTATACATAATCCAATCACAAGTCATAAAAATACTACATTCTTAATTGTTATACATAATCCAATCACAAGCCATAAACAAGATGTATACATTAAAAAACAACTAATTTCTTAGTTTCATAACAGCAAATTACTTCTACATTTGAATGAATATTTTTTTATTACGTAAATAGTTGTAGCAACAGGCATAAGATATCAGAAAAAAGGTTATCAGAAAGACTTATTAGCACCCTCTCCATCAGATGTTACAATACCGATAAGAAAAAAGGAGGGGACAGTTATAGGGTTTTAACCCACCCCCGATTTATAATCCACCCAAAGCACGTGCAGAATTCTCTCCAACACATATTACCCCATCAAAAAACGAGCAAAAAAACAACAACAACAAACAAACAAAAAAACCGTTAGGTTTAATATTAAATATTACTCACCTCCAAAATACGATCCGTCAGAAAGACTTGTAGCTATCTCTCCATTTAACATTACGATGTCGACAATTCCTTCTTGTATAAAGTACATCTTGTTCCCTATAGTCCCCTCTTTTATAATCGTGTCACCTGGCTGGAAGACTTCGTAGTGTAGTTTAGTGACCACATCATTAACAAAGTTCTGGTCAGCGTTTGAAAAAAACGGAACTGATGCGACCAGTTCTCGGCAGTTGTAATTGATGACATCCTGAGGAGAAATAAAGTAATATGTAACGAGTCACATTTGCATATGTCAAACAGTCACGTCCAAAATGGTCACATTTCCATGACACGGGTATCCTTTTTTTCTACACTAAGCCTTATTTCAAAAATAAATTTGTTCACTTCCCTGCCAATTGGGAAATTTTTGTGCTTAAACACACAAAATAAAATTTACATTTTATGCTCTCAAACGATACAATGAATTGGCGTTTAGTTTTGAGAATTTATTTCAGAACCTTGCATAAAGTCACACAGAGGATTTCAGCTCATACCAGTTAGCCCATTGTGTAGTTTGTGCTTAATTACAAACAAACAAAAAACTTTAGCTAATCTTGTCCGATCGAATAGCGGGACTTAACCATCACTCTTGTAATACACTCACGTCCCCCTAAGTGTTGTGAGCATTTTTCCGGCAACGGGTCGCGAACCAAGAATCCTCAGATTCACAGTCCGTATAAACACTGCTCTATTGTTGAGAAAAATAACAACAACAACATATTTTGTGAGAGAGCACGTGGTTGCAGGATAACACTACGATCTCACCTTTAGGATAATTCTTAATATTGGAAAACACCATGATCTCAGCTTTGGTTGAATTTTTAATAATGGGGCCACGGTCTCACCTGCTGGAGAATTTTTTATATTAGGAAATACCATTTTATTACATTCTGGAGAACTTTTAGAACTAGTTTCTTGGTTTGAATTTCGCGCAAAGCTACACGAGGGCTATCTGCGCTAGCCGTCCCTAATTTAGCAGTGTAAGACTAGAGGGAAGGCAGCTAGTCATCACCACCCACTGCCAACTCTTTGGCTATTCTTTTACCAACGAATAGTGGGATTGACCGTCACGTTATAACGCCCCCACGGCTGAAAGGGCGAGCATGTTTGGTGTGACGGGGATTCGAACCCGCGACACTCAGATTGGGAATCGACCGCTCTAACCACCTGGCCATGCCGGGCCCCGATCAGACGAGAGTAGTCCAAAACATTGTGGTAGGTGCTGTTGACCAGCTGTCTTCCCTCTTGGCTACAGTTCAAAAGTAGGGACGGCTATTCACAGATATTCCTACGAAATTCTGAATTTCAAATATCTGAGAATAGAAGTACAGTCAGAATAATGGACCACTGTTCTACTAGCACCAGTTCTTGAGGTGTCTTATTTTTTATGACATTGGTACTTAGGTGAAAAGCCTTAAAAAACTATGGTACTTACGTGAGAAGACTCAAGAAAAACGGCTCTTATGTAAGAAGACTAAAAAAATTAGTATTTTTGTGAGAAGACTTAAAGAAAACCTCGGTTCTTATGTAAGAAGACTAAAAAATTAGTATTTTTGTGAGAAGACTTAAAGAAAACCTCGGTTCTTATGTGAGAAAACTATGACATTTATAAGAAAACTCAATGAAACTATTGATATGGTATTATATTTATCAAGCACAATCGACCGAACTTGTTGATTGTAATCAAGATAGCGTTGTATGATTTTTGCTCATTTCGGTTGTTCAAACACAGACCTCGCGTAGTCGTTCAGACAGCTCTCCAAGAATGGCCTCTTCGTCATAGTATTTCCCTTGATAGCGATGCTCAAAGTAGTCCGTGATCCGTTGTCGTAAGTCCCGGGGCAATTTACGGTAGGCCATGTATTCTTCCACTTGTTTCACCTGGTGTTAGTAAGAAAACGTCCGTTTTAACTCAAAACAAAAAGAACATCAGCAAACACCACCCCCTCACAATACGTTTAAGTTTTACCTCAATTTATCAGCTAACACCCCCCCCCCCACAATACGTTTAAGTTTTACCTCAATTATTTTTCTAGAGATATTATAGGGTTAAAATTCTACTTTACTACTGGATTTATACTCTTCTTGAAAGTCGTGTGGGTCATAAATGAAATTTATTTTAACAATAATATAGACGATAATAATATTTTAGTAGTGTCAACAACCATTTAGTAACATCCATAAAAAAAACAGCCTGGCTACAACCTTTAACAACCATTTAGCAACAACCCATAAAAACAATCTAACAGCAACCCATAACAACCATTTAGCAACAACCCATAAAAACAATCTAACAGCAACCCATAACAACCATTTAGCAATAAACCATAAAAACAATCTAACAGCAACCCATAACAACCATTTAGCAATAAACCATAAAAACAGCTTGGCAGCAATCTTTAACAACCTTCTAAATGCTACCAATAACAACCATTTAGCAACAATCCATAAAAAACAGCCTAGAAGCAATATTTAACAACCATCTAACTGCAACCCATAACAACCATTTAGCAATAAACCATAAAAACAGCTTAGCAGCAATCTTTAACAACCTTCTAAATGCTACCAATAACAACCATTTATCAACAGTTCATAAAAAACAGCCTAGAAGCAATCTTTAACAACCATCTAACTGCAACCCATAACAACCATTTATCAAATATTCATAAAATAACAGCTTGGCAGCAATGTTTAACAACCATCTAATTGCAATCCATAACAACCATTTAGCAACAATCCATAAAAACAGCCTAACATCGATCTTTAACAACCATCTTGAAACAATTAACAACTATCTAGCAGCAACCCTTAAATATCTTTTGACGGTAGTCTACAACAACCATTTAGCAACACTTCTTAACAACCCACTAGTAGCAACAATTATCTAGCAGCAATCTACAACAGCATTTTAACAACATCAATATTCTAGTAACAGGATTTAGTTTATTAGCTGTAAGTAATATAATTTTGTAAAAACCATCAATAAAGAATACAATCTTCCTAAAATTTACGTTTTCAAGTTTCAGATATGTAATGAGAGATTGAAAGATTGAATCGGTATGTAATGTTCTGTACTCATTCATCTCCAAAAGAATTCTCGCTGCTTTACCCATGCGATTATTCATTTTTGGACTAACACATCATAACTGCTTAAAATAACAACATCCAATCCAAAACTTTGATTTCGATAAAGAAAAAAACCGACTAGTTTAATTTCTACATTTTCCTATTTTAAATAATCCATTACTTTCGATAAAGAGGAACCCACTTTGAGACTAATAATGGTTGGAGACGGCTTGAATGGGTAATGAAGAAAAACCTTAATAT